CACAGTGTGAAAGGAACACAAACCGGACAAGGTCACCGACGAATTTATGATAGGTGGAGGATGCATTGAAAATGCATGTCACTAGAACTGGAAGTAATGCTAAAACTAGTCTCGGAAGGATTGGACGTACGACAACAGTGCGGGGAAACACGAAGAGGCGATCTGTGGAACAAATGCTGTCTGATGGTTGAGGCATGAGCACAGGAATAGAAAGGAAGGAATACAGCCAGAAAAAATACGTCGGTAGAGAACATGTTTCACTTTATGCTGCAATACAACTCACTTCTGGGGGACAAGTTCATTTGGTTCGGGGCTTCAATCGATCAAGCGGTGATTTGGATTATTTAGATTAGTTAGGCGTTGGTCGCTTTGATGTGGGACTGACTACACGCTAAACACCTAACCTTAAAACATATTGTAGGTGAAGCAGGGGGTGTGATCCTCAACCTGGTCCGGAACGCGGACGCATGTAGTCAAAACGGTGGAAACAGCCGTGCCCAACAACCATTGCAGGAGCCAAATTGTCCNCCCAAGCCTTCGGCAGGCTCAAACCAACCGAATGTGGAACAAAGAGGCGATATGCAGCAGTCTGGGGTAGTACCCAGCTGAAGAGGGAAGGGAGAAGGGAAAACGGAGCATGCGACAGAGCATTACTAAAAATAATTGCACAACTAGCACGTTTTACTAAAATAATGGGCTACCGGAGTGAATATAGAACCGTAACCAGGGGATGCAGCGCTGTAAGACGATAGAATGTTTCTGTGAGTGCACACCAGAGTTTTGAATTCCACAGATCCGGCTGTGAAACTGAATACATGTACTCTTAAGAATTGAGTGCGAAAGTGAACACAGCTATCAAGATAGCATATGCCACGAAGGGACGCCGGAGGAATTGAACGAGAATGATTCGAGCCATATGTTGCATGCCAGATATTAGGTGACAATACATGTACGAAGCAAAGCTCAGTAGCACCGACAACATTTGAGCGGAAGTGCTCAGACGGGTTCCTTAACCCTAACTGAAATAAAAGCAGTGATTCTTAATTGACTCTAAAGCATCAAGCAGGTTCATCGAGTACATGCGGTATAGGGAGCAAGAGTGAAAACAGAGAAGCTAGAGACAACCTGACTGAAGTTTGGTGGCATTCAGCAGGCAAGATACCTCAGGGAGTAGGATCAGGTGGGAGAAGTAGGATATTTCAAGTGAAGAGACAAAGGTATACGAAGGACATTTCAGTCCAAGTAATACCGACACCATCTGAGTGGAACTGCTCAAACGGGGATCTTATACAGTAATTGAAGTAAAAATAGTGACTCTGAATTGACTCTAAAGCATGAAGCAGGTTCATCGAGGAAAAGCGGTGTAGGGAGCAAGAGTGAAAGTAGAAAAGCTAGAGACAACCTGACTGATGTTTGGAGGCATTCAGCTGTGAGGATACTAGACAGAGCAGGATCAGGCGGGAGAGGCAAGAAAATTTAAGTGAAGAAACGAAGGTGTACGAAGGACATTTCAGACCAAGTAATACCGACACCGTTTGAGCGGACATGCTCAAACAGGGTTCCTAGGTCCTTTATAAAATATAAATAGTGATTGTGATTTGCTTGTGAAGTATCAAACAGATTCATCAAGGACAAGCGGTGTAGGGAGCAAGAGTGAAAACATAGAAGCTAGAGNGCTAGAGGCAACCTGACTGACGTTTGTTGGCATTCACCGGGCAAGATACCACAGTGAGTAGGATCAGGTGGGAGAGGCAATATAGTTCAAGTGAAGAAACCTAGGTAAACATTTTAGTCCAAGCAATACCGACACCATTTGAGCGGAAATGCTAAAACGGAGTTTCTTAACCCTAACTGAAGTAAGAATGGTGAAGCTTATTTGGCTCTCAAGCATCAAACAGATTCATCGAGGACAAGCGGTGTAGAGAACAGGAGTGAAAATAGAAAGGCCAAAGACAACCTGACTGAAGTTTGGAGGCATTCGGCGGTCAGGATACCAGACAGAGCAGAATCACGTAGGAGGGGCAGGATTGTTTAGGTGAAGAAACGGAGGTACACGAAAGACATTCCAGTCCAAGTATTACCGACACCATTTGGGCGGAAGTGCTCAAACGGGTTCCTTAAATCTAATTGAAATAAAAATAGCGATTCTTATTTGGCTCTCAAGAATCAAAACAGATTCATCGAGGACAACAGGTGTATGGAGAGAGAGAGTAAAAATAGATATGCTGGAGACAACTTGGCCGAAGTTTGGAGGCATTCACCAGGCAAGATACCACAGTGAGTAGGATCAGGTGGGAGAAGCAGGATAGTTCAAGTGAAGAAACCAAGGTTGCCGCATGTGTCGCAACAACTGGGACGGGGTGCGGTCGCCGATTTCGAGATCTTTAAACAACTCATCTAATCGACGTTCATCTGACACAGCTGTGCGGGTGATTAACGCTTCCTTCAATTGAGTGTATGGGTCAGTCTCGGGCATGGTGGTGATGAATTCGAACACCTGTTCCGCAATATCGGTGGGCAGGGAAGTGACTATATGGGAATAAATAAGCTTCTGGGAACGGATGCGGTGGGCACGGAAATGGGCTTTGGCTTGGACGAACCATAACCGGGGGTTGTTAATACCGAATACCGGTAATTTAATGTGAGAAGACGTGGGAAGGTCCTCTAAGTCTAGTTTTGATTGCTCCATGTGTGAAATATACCGTAAACAAGTAAAATAAAATGAAGTGAAATTCCTGAAGAATCTGGGGTACCGTAGGAAAATATGAAGCGATAGATAATCTAAACAAGGGCTCACCAAATATGCAGTGGAAAAGATACTACATATACGAATAATAATGAAATAAACGGTACAAGGAACGGACTCACAGAAGGATTGTCCGCTGGTCGATTGATCCTGTTCTTGTGATGTGTGGTTCCGGTCGACGAGGTGTAGAGGAGCTGAAATGGGTGACTGCGACAGTTAACGGACCGCTTGACGATAACTGATAATGCTTGCTTAATTCCTCAGCAACACTCGGAGAACACGTGCGTATTTACGAACAGAATTTTGTATTGTGTATTAGGTACTGAGCATATTAAAACAAGCTGTACAATCAGGTCAGATAAAGTGGATAGAAAAGTAAGACACCACAATAGAACACTCGAAGTGGTAGTGTCCGGAACGGGGCTTACTACCGGAGGAAATCTGGACGCTCGAGTAGCCGTGGCCATCTCCTATCCTGTGCAAACTGACTGACTGACTGCGCTACACCGGGCGTGTTCGAAATTTTGCGTGAAGCTTCTCAGCTTGGAAATTAACTCAATTAATCGAACGGGAGGCTGCAGGATCGCGATAAAACGGGAGATAAAAGGCGAAGGTATCCAGTGGGGAAAATCCTGAAGTTGGGGAAGGGTGGAAAACCAAACCTCTCGAGGTCTGCATAATGACAAGATTTCATCCAGGTGAGTCAGCTAGCAGTCTGTTGCTGGTTTTGACCTGTTACACCCTGAGCCACATATAATTACTAGTTATTAGTTATTAGCTCTCTAGATTTCTCTCTGCTTTATATCCTTTACCTTTATTTTTCCTTGTCTACATTAGTTATCGTATATTACACTGTTTCACCGGCTAGCATGGATGTGACGTGCGGTAACCAGAGGTATAAAAAGGATGTTGCCTCGCAGGGAATACAGTGCGACACGTGTTTGAGGTGGTTCCATCTAAGATGTGCAGCAATTAGTAAAAAGGACTATCT